CCCCCTCTACCACTCGTGGCTTTACATCAAAGGTCTTGAGCCACAAGCCGAAGTGCAGAGGAGTTCGGAGGAGGGCTTCGCACGTAACGATAAACGTCGAGATAAGAAGAATAGAGTCTGGGGCCAAATCGTGGAAGTCTAGCCCGTAATAGAACATGAGCCCTCGGATGAAGGGGTTAAGTGCAAACCCAACCTGCGGAGGAAGTGGGACACGAACACGACCCTCTCACCGGATCTAGGGGTGGGAATAACCTGCCCCTCAGCAGGAAGCCGATGATGGATTTCAGCGGTCAGGTACCTCGCCGCCCGAAGCATTGCGATATCTTCCTCCGTAACAGAAGAAGCTACCCACCGACCTTGACGGCTAGATCCGGACATGATTGGGGCTGGTGGCGACCGGAACCCGGGTGTTGGAACTCAGGGTAGCAGGGGTTGAGGAAGAGGCAAGTCTGGAAGAAAAAGACGGGTATGTACCCCTATATAAAGGCTGCAAATATCAAACGTCTCCTCTCAGGCCTCAAAAACTTGCTCCAAGGAGTTGTACCCAAGCGACGGTTGGGTTACCCACGTGCGGGTCGACAGGAATCCCTTAAAAAGGGAGGAACGATCTCCGTTTAGATAAGATGCGCCAATAAGGTCACGTCCTGGGACGTGGGGTGACGGGCCGGCTAAAACGGTTCGCAAGCAAAGGCCGGGCAGGCGTGGTGTCATATTACCAAAAAGTGGTCGGTGGGTTGAACCCATGAAATATTATATCCTCTATGGTTGTGCATACAAGCCCGGATACAATCATTACATCTGAAGATCAACTAGGAGTTCGGAAGGGGGAACCCGCCTTGCAATGCCGAAAACAATCTACGCGCCGGACTCCTCGTCATTGAAGCCAGGTTCAGGGGCTACTGAGGGAGTCCTGGACTAAGGGGTCCTCGGGCGTCCAGCCTGTTATCCATGGGCCGGACTGTTGGGCTATGAAGATATGAAGACCGAAGACCATTCCTGTGTCCGGATTGGACTCTCCTTGGTGTGGAAGGCAAGCTTGGTAACCGACTATGGAGATTTCTTCTCATGTAACCGACTCTATGTAAACCCTAGATCCCCCCGGTGTTTATATAAATCGGAGGGGTTAGTCCGGAAAGGATATATTCATTACCATAGTCATATAGGCTAGGATTCTAGGGTTTAGCCATCTCGATCTCGTGGTAGATCAACTCTTGTAACACTCATATTCATCAATATCAATCAAGCAGGACATAGGATATTACCTCCATAGAGAGGGCCCGAACCTGGGTAAACATCGTGTCCCCTGTCTCCTGTTACCATCAATCCTAGACGCACAGTTCGGGACCCCCTACCCGAGATCCGCCGGTTTTGACACCGACAGAAGGCGCTCTACATGCTAGGGTTAAACCCTGGCCAGCACGGCCTCCTCAACGCCGCTGTTGCCGCGGCCAGCACCGGCTCATCGGTGTTTCCTCGGATGGTGCTGCCAGACTCGCCCCGCGCGTCGGCTTGCAACCCGGTGCCCGGCTTCCACATGTACCCGCAGGCCTCCCACCTCTCCGGGGAGTGCTCGCCCGACGTGAGCATGGTCATGCCTTCCACGCCCGTGCTCGCGCCCATCGACCTCAATGCCACCCCGGTGGCCGGTGGCTCGTCATCTAGTGGGGCGAGGAAACGCGCGCGGCAGACGCCGGCCGGCGTGCTCCCGGAGGCCCACAACCTGTTCGAGGAAATGCCGTCCGCCGTCAACGAGGACTACATGCAGAACCTCATCTTCGAGGGCGGTGTGCCGGCCGCTGGCTACGATCCCGACGATACACAAAAGCCAGGGCGGTCGCGCGCCGTTCACGCCGGCCGCTGGCTATGATCCCGATCAGGCGGCCTTCATGCATGATCAGGTCGGCATCGACCTGGACGGCTTCCCACTCGACCACGAGTTTCTGGACGACTACGGACTAGAGGAAGAGGACGAGTGTGACATCGAAGTGGAGCCCTAGTTCGAGGACGAGCTCGCCAACCAAGCCGCTGGTCCTAAGCCGAAGCGCAAGAGCAAGCGCAGGAAGGAATACACGGCGGCCGAGGACAAGCTTCTTTGCGAGTGTTGGCGAGACATTGGATAAGACCCCAAGACGGGCGCCGAACAAAAGCATTCAACCTTTTGGATTCATGTCCACCGAGAGTTTCGTGAGCGCAAGAAGTTTCCGCCTTACCAACTTGTGAGCACGCGCGGGTGGCTGTCCATTTCCAAGCGATGGAGGGCGATCCAACAAGAGTGCAACAAGTTTTGCGCCATTCTTCAGAGCATCAAGGCCCGCCCCGTGAGCAGCATCGGCATGCAAGACATGGTATGCTAGCAAGCCGCCCTCTTTTGTGTCATCAAGTTCATGCCCGCGCTGGCATGGTGCCGGCATGGTGAGACATGGCCGCTGGCATGACCGGCCGTTGTGTTCCTTTTGACCCATAAAAATTCCCCATAAAGTTTCGTGGCATTTGGACTCCGTTTGATATTGATTTTCTGCGATGTAAAAAACATGAAAAAAACAGCAACTGGCACTTGACACTATGTCAATAGGTTAGTACCAAAATATGATATAAATGGCAATAAAATGATTATAAAACATCCAAGATTGATAATATAATAGCATGGAACAATCAAAAATTATAGATACGTTGGAGACGTATCAGTGTGTGTGTGAGAGAATATGTACGGACATTGTGTGCATCTGCGTCAGCCTATTGGGCTTGCCCAGGCTCAATTTCATGTTTTGACCCTTTTCTAAAAGTTAATCGAGATCTGACCCTAGTTTGTGAAAATTTCGGGATCTGACCCTTTTGCTACCTCCAGGATCCATGACGGCCAGGGACCTTGCCGGTAGGAAACACCCCTACCGCCAAATAGGCTGACGGTAGCCTGTGCACCCCTACCGCCAAGGTGCGTGGCGGTAGGTGCGAGCATGCACTAGGTTTCATACTTAGGAAATTTTTCTGGTAGGGCGTGCAACCCTACCGCCAGGGACCTTGGCGGTAAGCTATTATACCCTATCGCCATGGACCTTGACGGTAAAAAAAATGGTTAGATCCCGAATTTTTTGCAAGGGTCAAATCTCAAACAAGTTTCAGAAAAGGGTCAAAAACACGAAATTTAGCCGCTTGCCCAACTAATCATTCCAGCATAAAAAGATCATTGTTTTATTGGAAACAACAAATCAATTTCTTACTAATCATATATGATTAAGTACAATGCAGAACACCTAAAAAAGGTATAGTGCATAGATGGTGGTCATCCTAAACGATTTAATTTTCATGTTGCAAATTACTGAACATATTCATGCAAACATATAGTAGATGGTCATACAAGAAAATCTCTAACCGATACCAATCATTCATATTTTGACTCAAATTTTATGCATGTGGAACTTCCCCACAAAAGAACCCATACAGCCCCTCCGGTTCTTTTTACTCCGCATATAAGATTTGTTTGGAGTCAAATTTCGTAAAGTTCGAACGACTTATAAAAAAATATGAGCATTCACAATACAAATCAACATCATTAAATGCATCACGAATTTAACTTTTACATTATATAACTTTAAAGTTGTAGATGTTGATGTTTTAAACATAAATATGGTCAAACTTTATGAAGTTTGGCTCCAGACAAATCCTATATATGGGTAAAAAGGATCGGAGGAAATATATATTTTTAACATGAAGGACTTTAGTATGCGTGCTGCCATTTCATGCCAAGCTGGTTCCACACCACGTACACAATCATCCAGCCCCATCAGTTAGACCGACATGTTGGAGCGCATCGCCACCAAAAGATATGACACAAATATGAGCGCCCGATATTTCTGGAAACGTGAAAGGGGAATTCATCATATCATGAAAATGACCACAAGGTATGTTTAAGGGTAAAACTGCGTGGTTTCAACCACCACTTAAGGATCAATCGTCAGAAATGGCAAGTATCCACTTGGAGTAACATAACTTTGTTAAGTACTAGCCCGCGTATGTGCACGGCCACTTTGCTAGTTTGCAAAAAAAATACAAGATAATCCATATACGCGCATTGTATTGATCTCGAAATTTTGACTAATTTTGAAATGTAGTTTTAGTTGTCCTGCTGATGTGGCATTTTTTTCTTGGCACATGCACACTTACAAGTGGGACCCAGCTGTTGGGAATCATGTCCACAAAGTCAAATGATGGATTAGAACTGGTTGCAATGGATTACACCAATACGTGGTGTTTTGTGCGACAAACATGAAAAGTAGGCGTTCTATGCGAAATCGACCCCAATAGCTGTTGGTTTATGCAATTTTCTCAAAAGCTCTCAACATATATGACCTGAACCTTTGCATGAGGCAGCAGCAGCAAGATCAGATCGTTCATGTGATCGTCCCCTCCACGTCCCTGCGTCTTTCCATCGGCATCTTATCTTTTCTTCTTGTCTCTTACTCTCTTTGAGCTGTTGATCTGACTCACTTTTGCCACGCACCGCCCATTCTTGCTCGGCCCCTCACTTCCTGTATTGTACTCAGCCAGGACCCGTGCGATTCTCTGAACCCACTCCACTTCCATCCAGGTTTACTTTCGACATGAGACAGTGGATCTATTCATTCATGATGAAATAAAGCTATTTAGTTTGGCTGGCAAAGTAAGCGAGTAGGCCGGGCGTGCTAAGGGTGGTGGGCCTATGTACACTCGAAACTTTGGATACGAGACACTACTGTTAGCCAGGCTGAAAACGACGTCTAACTTAATCCTCATTGTTCCATTTCATACTTGCAGAGAAGGCCCACATACAAAAATTGTACTGGAAGCCTGCAATGTGTGCTCTAGCACCTTGCAGTTTGCAAATGTGAGATTATAGGACATGATATACACAATAGTTACCACTACCACTCTACCAGCAAACATTATTTCCATGGGAAAATTATAAAGAAGAAAGAGTAACTAGTACATAACAGTATACTACTATGCTTTGTACGTACTACTAGCTATGAACCGTAGCATCCCAAAAACCAGGAGAGCGTCCTGGCGCCCACGTTAGCAGCAGGCGGCACCTTCTCCAGCCCAGCGATCATGTACTGCTGCTGCTTCTTCCTCTTCTTCTTCTTCTTGGTGTGAATTACCGTGCCCCTCACCGTCACCTCCTTCTTCCCGAAATCCACCATGTAATCCAGCAGCCCTGCTAGACGAGATCAATACACGCCAATAACACATCAGCACGATATTTGCAGCGAACATCAGTGATTAAAATGAGATGTCAGTTGGATCCTCACCGTTCATCTTGGTGACGACCTTGGTGACCCGCTGTCGGCAGTGGGAGCAGCCCATGTTGGCGCTCATCACCACCACCTGCACCTGCATCCGTTGCAGCATATGCATTCAGAAACCAATTAAAATCTCCACCATCAACGTCCGCACTGGCTAATTAAGCATCATCAACCCGGCACCAAATATGCTTGCATCGCTTCTACGCAATTAAGCAAAGGGACCGGCAACCAGCTAGTATATGTCAACACATTGCGCAGCTAAGCCACTAATCGATGCACGTAACGTACTAGCTGAGTTTTTAAATCTCGGTCAGGCCTTGACTTGATTATTAGCCATACGGACGGTGGTTAATTGTGGATGGTTAGCTAATGGTACTCGAGTGGTGGTAGCGGCAACCAGCAACCTGGCCCGCTCTACAGTTAAAGAATATTAGAGCTGCGTGCTAATTGCAACCCATGCATGCGTCCCTCTCACCAAACCATTCTATCTTGACCACTTGCCACTTGAAAATTTCTCTCCCTCCCTCGTTCTGGGCACCACATGACCTGCACTGCTGCAAGTACTAGCCAGGAGCACTTGTTCGTCTCAATGGCATGGTCTGATAAGTTAATTTAAGCTGCTGCTGCTGCTGCTTGGTGTATACTCATCACGTGCGGCGCTTGTGATACGCATGATACCATCTCTATCGATCAAGGACAACCTTACATGCATAGTGCTGTAGCAGCGAGGGCAAAGGCATGTGGCCGAGTGGTGCCTCTCGTACCTTACTGTCGGGTGCCGCCGTAATAACCAGTTAAAACACTAAGATGACATTAACATCCTAACGGTTTGAGTTTTTTTCCACCACAGAGCATCTTAATTAAACTAGCTAGAGGCGTGCTGGCTAGAGACATAAAACATATGGATGTCTACATCCATGACTACACGTATATGTGCGTCTTTGTTGTACATGCAATGTACGTATATGTACGCCGTCCCCATCCCATGTGTCAGTGTTGAACGGGCACATTGTCATCCAACCTAACCAATTAGTAAGAGCTCTTCGCCCGTGCCAAGCATTTTGTATTCTGATTAAAATACCGTTTCCTCTTCCATATGTATGTATCTGGTGCAGCCTACATGTGCGGAGGTGTTGGGTCAAAACTGCACGCTCTGGCTAGCCCAGCTGATGGTGAAATGTTTTTGTTTGACTGACTGGATCAACCAAACTGTGGGGACGGCAATGTTTCAGATCTGACACCCAGTTAAAATTTGCATGGCGACGTAAGCAACGCGTGTAGGTGTAGTATATAAAAGCACGTTCAAAGATGCTTAGCATGTTTGTGACAGGAATGGACGAATGAACAGATGCTTGCATACATCTAATAAGTCCGCGTACAGAAATATATTCGTATTTTTCGGGTCAAGGGAGGGCTCGTTCTGCGTAGCATGTGCCGTATTTGACCGGAGGAATACGGAGCAGGAAAGGGATCTACGGAAGATAACCCAGAGGAGGATGTTGTGAGCCAGAGGGGCAGGCATTTGTTTGACCGCTAGTACTTTGCATTAATGGGGAAAGAATCCATTTGCTGATCGAGGCTGCTACAGTGATGTGACCGTGACTTGTTCCCGGTTAACGGCTCTCTAATGGACGCACGTGATGTCAGGTCAAGATCCAAGAAAGACACAACAAAAATCCAGTCCTAATCTCGCTTTGGAATCACACCTTACCTAATGGCAGCAGCAAGCAGGCACACATGGCGTCCATGGCCACTCGTTTTCTCATGGCGATTTCAGCTTCACCTCCGTGATTCCAAGAACACGACCGACACCTTGAGGCTGATTGCTCAGTGCAGTGCTGCTGCTAGCTACGTACTCACTACAGTGGCTTGACGCACGCGTAGGGACGTGTCCGTATGAGACCGTCAGACTCTCGCTGCAGCTCCGTGCGGATGCAGGTGGCCGTTCATTTGTCCCTTTCTGAGTCGGAGGAACAAGGTGATACGTATCATTCTGATCTCAGCACTTGTGTCTCTGGTTTCTAGCTAGGGCGTGCGGTGCAAACAAAACAAAGTAAAATGTGGAATTGATTGGTTGATTGATGCAGTGCCTTCTCTCTCTTTCAACCTTTATGATGTCTAAAAAGGTGATTGGAAATGAGAGGGGGACCGTGAGTATCCAAGGAGTAGATAAACAGTCACTCGCTCACGCACTTCAATGGGGCTGCAGACGGGGCAGGGGAAGGGAACACACGATATGGGAGGACTGAATGCAGGACACGGGTACTATATAGGAGTAGAATAGTGGGCATCCAAGGAGGGCTATAAGCTAGGTTAGCTAGTGCATATTGACAAATGGGAATGGGACCGAGAGATTGATTCCAGTGTGCATGCCACTCACAACGACTCCATTTCCTCATGGGAAGAGCAGCGGGATCAGGAAAAGGGAATCGAGAGGAAACTACTATGGCTGTGTGACGCACTTGACATCCTCCTCACCAGAAAAAAGAATCAGAGAAGTTGAAGAAAATATGAGCGGACCATGAATATGATCGGGGCTGGGATTGCAGAGCTAGAAGCAGAATCACTGGAGACTTCATGGCGTGATCAAGCTTGAAAGAGAGAGGGAGGGGGGATGGAGACCATACCGAAGGGAGGGAGAGGTCCTCCACGAGCCTCAGAGCCTGGTGCTGCTTGACCGCCGTCGTGCCGCCGTCGCTCATGGTCGACGTTGCATCTGATCCGCCCATGCTCATGCTCCTGCTCCTCCTCCTGCTTCCACTCCCTGTGCCATCATCTTCCCCTGCACACTCCATGCTGCCTCTTAGCCCCCTCTGGGTGGGTGGGAGCTTCCTCTGCCTCTCTTCAACGAGACTTTCTTTCTCGTAGCTATGCCTTGTCGTCTGAAGGAGAGTAGAAAAGCACCCTCCTCTTTTATACTAGTCGGTCCTGGGGAAGAGAACAGAGAGGAAGAGGAACAACCAACAGCTTAGGGCCGGAGACCGCTCACAGGAAATGCAAGTATAATTTTAAATCCTACCTGGATAAAATTAGGCGGAGAATGGAAGGTGACCACCAGCAATCACAAAAGTGACACCATCGGATGGTATTCTACTACTTGTCTGATGGCAAATCATTTGCAAAGATAATCAGTCCCATTGGATGAGTCGGATATAATGACAGTTTGCTGGTGGGATCTCCAGTTCTCTGCAGGTGGCCCCACTTTCCACTTCGTATTGGATTCCTTCTGCACTTTTCACCATTTGTCAGCTATATATATGTAGAAACAAACAAGCCACCATGGCAGAGAGGTTGCTTGCAGTGCTCTCCAATCCAGAGGTGCCTAAGAGCAAGCAAGGCCGGTAAAATAGTCACAGTTTTTTTTTCAGTGAAGAGTAAAATGGTCAAAATGGAAGGTGAAATATAATGGTGACAGTTCAACAGCACAATATGTAGTAAAGAGCCGTCCATAGATCATATACGGTTCTTTATATTCCCATTAGAATCTTGTAATTGTACAATCATACACGGCAGAGAACTCACTCGTTGGAACCATGCAGCGTGAAGATTAACAATGCGATACGCAGAGTGGGTATTGAAGATCAGAAGGGGTCGGTCAAAAGAAACAAAATGTTTTCAGTAGTATATAAAAGAAAGAATCAAAGTGCTCTTTAGGTATACTACACCCCTGGGTATCTCAAATGTCGTTTAGCATGGAACTGGTTATACAACCACATCCTTAAACCTGCATAGCAAAAGAGGTTCTGAATAAGAAAGATAATTCTAAAATGAGTAGGCAGAGGGGAGCTGTCGTCCCGTCAAACCCCAGAACAAGAGCAAGAAAGAAAGAAAGAAGATCATCACTCGCATGCATTCATTGCGCACCCACACTGAAAGGGTAGTGGTAGTATTGCTTGGATCGACAAATAAGTCCTCTTAACTAGGTTGTTGTGCTAACGGCAAAATACAGCTTAGAGAGACAAATCTCAACGATTCAGCTTGGAATTCAAATAAACGCAGCTACCTTAACAGTTAACTTTTTTCTTTGCGGGTGAACAGTTAACTCATTCTTGATGGCCTATAGCATCTGAATGTTGACATACAAAGAAACATTCATAAAGACCAGAGGATTTGCGCGCGCACACACACAAAAAAGGTAATTGATGGATTTGGAAACTGACAGCCAAGTGTTAAGATCATATGAAGCAAACCAAAAGATTTTAGCTGAAGTGCACAAGGGAAGTTCAGAAATGCTCAAGAGTACTTCATGTGAGAAACAAGG